TTGTGCCATCAAATTAAACACTTCCTAAAAATTTTTTAACCAAAGAGGATGATTTCCAGTAGCATAATTTGTTTTAGCAGCTGAAAAAGGTTAAGATATTTCAATGACATAGATCAATAGCTCGAGCTGAGTAAAACTAGACAATCTTTTATTCTCATGGAAGACCGGAAGCAAAAGCTATATATGAAGATGGAACTTTGCTTTGGCTGAATTTCGAAAGAGAAACAATTTTGCTCCATCTAGGTTTGGAAATTTACGTCATAACAGATCTGAGATAAAACTAGTTTAGAAAATGTACAACTTTTTCGCTCACACCTGATTTTGCCCTTTATAGTTAAGCGATTTCTAACGATGTGTGTGACGGAAGGGCCCCTTTCGTACTGACACGAAATAACAAGACAATTTGTCTTACGATTATCGTATGATAAAGAAATATTCTTAACTGCTGCATATTATCTTTTGTCTTAAAAGAAAGCTCGGTTGTCACATGAAGCAAAGAAAATTTTGCAAAGAAATGCTTTGTCGGTGTAAGAACCATCCATAGTGGGGATGTCATCATGGCGGCCGGAAAAGATTACCGGACGTCGTTGAACCTGTTACCAACTTTCGAGCCTTGGGTGTTGTGTAGTGAAATATGCAGAGCTACGAATTTCAATCGTGCTCAGCGTAAACTTATAGAAAATATTTTGGAAAATTTGGAAGGCAAGCTCTTTAGCTTTAAAAGTGGGTTTATATCAAAACACATATAAACCTTTAAGGAAGTAAAGAACCGCCATTTTGTGTTACTGGCACCGGTTGGCATTGTCGAACCTTGCAAAAACCTCTTTGTTTGAACATCTGAATTTTTATTCGCCTAAGTTCGTAAAAAAAAAGAGATCAGTTTTTATTTAGAAGGTGGGTTTTGTTATATCAAAATTAAACCATTAAACAAAAGACCTCGGTTCATCCCGAACGATCGACTAAAACATCTTAGAGACGGGAGGCTTCTTGCATCTGCCATTTAGCAAAGCAGACCGGGTTCTCGTGACTTCATCCAAAATGCTGGGAGCGTCTGTTAGCAACTCATCTTCTCTTGTTACGCGTTCACACAACCAGGTATGGCCCAACCTTAAACATCTGAATTAGCTTATGGCGAAGATCTGTGGGAGCTTCATGTCGATTTATTTCAGTGACACGCTTTACGTAGACCTGCTGTGAACATTGCTTCTTCTGTTATTCAACAATTAAAGGTAGGCATCAAGTGTTTTTCCTTGTCCCCTAGAAAACTCTTACAAAAGTTTCAATTTTAACTAAGTCAAAGTGCTGTTTCTTTTGTGATCCTTCGAACACGAAGACGAAAATAATAGAAAGTTTCCACCAGTTGCGCTGAAGCCATAGCAGGACTTAAGTGGTGTCGAAGACAAACCTTAGGAGGCAACCGCGTATATCACACCAAGCAGAACTCTTCCCTTTGACGAACACGTCATACGAAGACTTTTATTGAGAGTCTCAAAAATCTAAATCAAATAAAGTGTGTTCTAGTTATATCGAAAACTGACAAATTTCCCTCATCAGTGTCTGATTTTAAGAAGTACCGGTACGTTTCCATGAAGAGTGTGATAGAAACCCGAGGTTTGCAGAACACGATTTCATGACGAAAACAGGCTCGGCCTCGTGTCCCTCGACAAACTAGTGACAGCTTAGAGCCGGAAAAGTTTCAGTTTATTTCATGCTACGAAGCGCATGGAACAATGATCAAACCGGAAAATAACTGACTAGGACCATCAAAAACACCAGCTAAATACTTGTCAAATGCACCTTTTTCTCTCAGATATATTTCTCAGTGCTTAACGCATTAACTTGAAGACAGTTGGGTTTGGCAATTGCATTTCAGAAATATCGCATATTTTAAAAATGAAACCAACTTTGAACACATAAACACGCGATAAGGAAATTGTGGTGAGGTTTTCCAACAGCAGAGCACAAGAGAAAGAAATCTTTGGCATCATTCTCTTTTCAATCGAGGCAAAAAGGCCCCTACTTGATTTTATTACCCTTGTTGGATTACAACCCTTTGTCAATAACATTTGGCAAGATTCGGAAACACATTTGCAAAACCGGGCGGTGATGTACTTGCTTTATGGTGGAAAGCAGTCGGAGAGTGTTTGTGTTGAGCTTGTTCAGTTTTAGGTTGTTCTGGCCATGATTTTAGTCTTGAATTAAAAAATGACCCCAAACAAATAAGGTTGGTGTAAAATACGTCAGTAAGCTGTAGCATATTTGTCAGGGGGTATTTTAAATTAAAAAAAAGGAAAAATATAGCCAGAAAATAAACTTTTACTTCAAAATCAATATGACTTGAACTTCTAACCACAACAGACATTCTGCGATATTTAGCGAGGCTAATCACCTTCTAGAACGAGTTTATGCGATGCATTGCGTAATAGAGCAAAAAGAAGAGGTAAACAAAAAGCTCAAGATGCAAGTTAAGCGACAATCCGCCTCTAGATGCAAATTGCAAATATCACTCAGAAAAATAAAAAAAACGTCTGTAGACAACGAATAGAAATGAAAAATAAACCAACGATCTCACAGATTTCGTGCTAAAAAAGTGACACTTTAGCTCTAAGTCTTTTTTTAACCGATTGCAATGAATTTCAGAAATGTCTAGTCTGAAGATAAATGTTTTCTTAAAATATGCTTGCACCTCTCTGGCCCCCGGCATTTCAGTTTGCGAGCTAAAATTGCACTCTGTTTTGCATAGCTGTAAAAAATTAGTTGTGTCGGCGCTTGAAAAGTGAACTTTTATTCATCAGGATATTTTGTTAGCGTTGACACCAGAGAAAAAAGAATTGCATGTGAACTTGGGGCGGCCGATGTTTGTATTGTGCGAATGTTCCATTAGATTTGAGACGAGAGATTCGAGATCCCATCTCCTATTCTGTCATGCAAAGAATACACCACTGAATATTCTAAGTGGCGACATTAATTTTCTTTGCAAACATTTTGCCTTGTTTCGCCGAAAACACGTACTATAAACAGTTTTTAGCTTTCAAAGATAGATTTTTATTTATGAAGCTGAAGGACTAAAAAAGCTCTGATGTGGTACCAAAATTTTGAAATTGCGAGCTCAGAAAACAAGTTTTGTTGCTTTTAAGTTGAAAAGGTGTATGCGGTTTCATCTTTTTGCAATCTATAGCACTTTTTCCACCTGCCTCAAATTCGTGGATCACGCCGAAACGCCAAAAAATATTAACTATACTGTGTTGAAGCGCTTACCAGCGTTCGAAATTCCCGGAAAAAACGAGATTGTAGGTCACACTTCAGTCAGTGCTCCAAATTATTCCACCCACGCACGGCCAACCAGGGCTAAAATAGAAACACAACGAGCTATTCTCCATGAAGGATTTAAAATGGATTTTCTCCCCGCAAATTAATGCAGAAATATCACACCTTACTGAATAATTTATGATCGCCTACCGATTGATTTCTTTGAAATGTCGTTTGCGATCAATCAACCACCTCATATCGAAAAGTATTTTGTTTCACAAAATGACACGAGAGAATTACTGGATATTCGCCAGGGTAAAGTCTGGCCCTGCGCGGCCACGATGGTTCGTTGAAAAACATGGAAAAAAGCGCAACCCCTGGAGGGAAAAGAAATTATTCATTACAAGTATTTTTTTTATAAATTTGCATACACTTTCTTGACAAAAACAATGTTTTTCTATCACCTCGTTTTAGACAGTCTTATTGTGTATTTATACACACAGACTTCAAATGACGTCAGCGTGACGTAAGAAAGGAGACTTATCTTGTGAGAAGCACAAAGCCTCCAACGGTTCGACTTCTGTTCGTTGAATATAATTTACGAGTCCAATTAATTTGAGTTTTTTTGGCTCCCGAGAAGACGTATGCATTTCTTCCGCTCGTAGGCGTTCATTTGCGTTTTGTTTAGAAACGATGACGTCAAATCGTTTTTTCTAAGTTTTAGTGGACTCACATCTTTCGAACGATTCATTTCACGCTTTGATTCGGAAGGGGCAGCGCAAGTAAACGCGTTTGAATTTTTGTTCTCGCCGATCGCCTTAATATTTCGTTGTTTAGTGTCAGCCGGCTTACGGGGCTTAAAATCGCTCAAAGAAGGTGGGTGAATTTCACTTCAATCGGTGGATTTACTTGATAGAAGTTAATTTGACTTCTTTTAAGATTTGATTTTATTCCAACTCGGGCGTGGTGGATTGCCAAACTATCTGGCACATTTACCGTATGTGTATTCATAGCTTCTTGCTAGTTTTAAATATGCAGATCATAAACTGTAAACATTAAGTCAGTTGGTTAGAAAAAAACATTTTACCATCCAATTTTGTTAGTTATGTTATAAAATTGTAACGGTTTACAGCAGATTATTTCGAATGTTTTACTTCTGGATTAATTCAACGCAGCAACGACAGAATCAAACCCGGGTAACGCATTTGACATCCTTTGTATATCTAAGTTGCATGTTTAAGCGAGTTACATTTATAGATTTTTCTTCTACACTGACAAGTCATATATGGCGTGCAATTTTCATAATTTTTTCTACAAATAAGTTATTACCATATCTTAATAACATTACTAGAGGTTTTGTAACCCCTGTGGGAAATCGATATTTTATGTGTGACAGAGTTTGGAAAAATAAAAGCAAAAAAATTACCAATATATAATTTTTAGATTAAAACTAATCTGAATTTATTGACCTTCGGATCTCATTTCTATGAATACGTTCCGTGTTGCATGAAAAATGTGTCGCCAGGGAATCTATTTACCGAGAAACTTCAACTGATTGAAAAGTAGGTCCCGTTTTCAATTGTCAATTTAGAAATGTTTCTCTAGCTTCATTTTTTTATTTTGAAAACGAGAATTTATATTTGCCTTCGGCACTGACGGAAGTCTGTATGAAAGGGACTTTTACTTCCGGCAATTTCTTCGTTTCCTGTGACGTCAGTTACCCAGAAGTCTCTAGGCCAGCGATTGATGATGCTCGTGTGGCCGGTGTTACATTCTCTCTGTGTTCAAGCAATGACAATTCGACTGTTTTTGGGAGAAAGTTATCTGCTTTAACTAACGAATTAGGGAGCTATCTTTTTTGTGACTAACGGGAGACGTTGCTACCCATTTCGGGTTCCGGTAGTAATTTCGTGTCTAAAAGCCGCGACCGTCTTCGCCTCGTAATTGTCGGCAGTTCTGAAAACCTGCTGCAATTTTAGTGCATTTATTCGGCTGCTTGTCCTACCATCGCTGATACAGATGAAAAGAGTAACATGTCTAGCAAATATTCAGGTGAGCTGAAGTGACCGGTGAGTGAGACTCCCGGGATTTGTTAGTTGGAGTTAAATTAAGCTCGCCCACGCTCAGAAATGTGTTACGAAAATATCTGCGTGGACGAGCCAAAACTTTCCCCTCACAGTGTCGGGAAATCTGTTGTCGATTTCATCTGCAAACTCTTGTTGATTCTAAAGAGGTTTGCGTCACATTGAGGCAGTCTTTTGTAAGTTTTGAATGTGGCTTTTTCTCACAAAGGGCGTTGTTCAACTAACGTATAATTTTTTTTTGGTTTATCTTGTTTAGGTAGATGTTTGGAGGGAGTGTAGTCGAGTGGAGTGAATTATTAATTAAGCGTATAGAAGTTGTCGATTTCAAGCAAAATTTTTCCGTCGGCGGATGGTTCACGCTTCCTCTGTCTTCTAATGTTGTTGTAGTTATTCTCTCTCTGAATAATGGAGGAAATTTTAGAATGTTAAAGATATCTCTTTAGGGGCATGTTTTCAAGACAATTTAGGAAGAACAACTTATTTTTATTTTGGAAATATAACTTACTTGGCAAAGGTGCTTCCCTGGTCGAAAAAAAATCGTAAATGCGCAAGTTACTTGTACCGTTTTGCGAATTTTAAGGGCTATATTTCGTTGGATTTTGTATTTTACTCTTCTTAAGTGCAATTTTGTTTTCGTCATATCTTCTCATTCCGTTTATTTTTACTTCCCATTTCAGATTTAAGGCCGTAAATACGCCGGGGCTGATTCTGCAAATTTGGGCAAAAGTTTGTTACGATTTCACAACGCAAGATTTTTCCAAACGTTATGATCCATAGTTGGCAAGTCTTCACCTTCCATTGCAACGATGATTAAAAATGGACGTAAGCTGGTTTCTTTTTGAGGTAAGATTTAGAGCTGCAAAAGCACTTTTATTTGGTACGGATTAAATTTGTTAAAGGGCGAGCAACTACAAACAATAGGTAGCACAAATGTAAGCAGTGGCATTTTAACTTATGATGTAAGCTTATGTAAGTGCACCGTACTTTGATTCGGTATAATCCTGGTAAAATGGAAATGATAGTATTACCTTGTGGTCTTTGATCTGCTCATAATCGCAGCCGGTTGAAAAGCTGTCCTTGGTTTTTCGAAAGGACTTTGATACGACATTGTGAAACGGATTAATTTCGCGAAGAAATTCGAACTGTTTTTTTTTTTCTAATGTCTGGCCGAGAATAATTGTCTCAACCGAGAATAATTGTGTTCATCTTTGATATGCCTTTGAATCTGTTTGAAGTTTGGTTCTACAATCAGTTAGAAATTTAACCATCTGGAATAGACAAAACTGTGCTTCACAGAATTTCGATTCGAGGTAACAAATGAATTCTTCGTTGCATGTGAAATGTTACACTCGTCTGCACTGGCATAATGTACCCAGGTGAAAATAATTGGTAATTATTAGTTTTCAAGCATCGCTCCGCTGTGACACAATTTAAACCTTCCTCGCAGAAACGGAAATGTGGAGAACACAACGCAACTGCTGTCTTAGTTGATTAGCAAGTGCGAGTGTATGTGTTAATTTATTCAGTTTTGTAACGCTGCTTAAAATCCATTTGCACGCTTTTGTTTATACACTACCTAGCAAATAAAGTGCAAGTTATGAAATTTTTATACAAGCACTGTGTAGATTAAACCTGGAACATTGCAAAGCACACAGAAATCTGTCTGCTTCCTTGTCAGTTTTAATTTTTGATATTTCTGCTGTTGTCATTTGTGACAATTTTAATGCAAGTAACCTTTACCTTGGATCACCTCTTATTCAATATTTAATGATATTAGCATTTCTTTGATTTCTTTATTGCATTCCATATGATAGCAACTTATTTAATCCTCTTTGAATATTCTTAGATGAGCTCTACAAGAGGCTTTGGAAAATTCTTCCATATTATGTGGAATTAGTCATTTGATTTTTTTAAAATCCTTGTCAGTTCTTGCCCTGGTTCTGAGAAGCATTGATTTATTTTTATCACTTTGTGGTTGAAGCTGTGATGCTTGCAGGGGTGTGATTTGAATTTGTAAATGTGGCCAGGATGAATTTGAATAGTTTTGCTCATATCTGTCAATGTCAAAGTGTGATATTGTGTAAAGAAAAGGGCAAATACAAATTATTTGCATTACCAGAAAGTCATTAGAGCTTTTATCCCTTTTATTTTTGGTGTCAGTAGGTGCATAGTAAACAAGACTGTGTCATAATTATATTTAAAATATTTTAAGAATATTGTGATTACTTTTTTAGGATTTTATATGGAAAATTTGAAAAATTGAAAAGGTTTTTGTGTTTGTGGTGGTTTTGAACCCATTAGCAACTGGTCTGTTTGAACTTGTAATGTTGGAACTCAGTTGTTGTTACTCAGCAGAATTCATCTTAGATAACAGAATTAGGTTGCGAGGTGTACAAGATATTTCCCGCGCTTGTCCAGCTCTAGAAAGTGCAACGAGTTATTTTTCACCCAAGGCAAACTATCATCACTAAAAAACTGAATTTTTTGAGAACAAGAGCATGAATTTCAGGATACCAGCCATGAGTGGATACTCTGATCTCAGAGGCATTAACTGTAACAAGCAGTTAAAACAATGAAAAAACGGGCCTTTTCCATTGGGTCAAAGAGCAACAAATCTTTCTAATGGTTGTGGTGTAGTATTTGCTTGTAAGACCTGTTTGCAGAATTAAATTGATGAATTGGCAAATATACTGTATAGAAGAACAAAAACTTACTTCCTGTTATCACAAAATGAGTGCTCAGGAAATTTACAACATTCTGCTAATTCTATCACCAACTAATACAAGTATAAATGCTACATGTGCTGTATTCTATAGCTTTGTAATAGACCTAAGGATACAGTAGACCTTCTAGGGCCAATTTTTTTTTTGAAAAAAGAAAATTTCAGGTTAAACTAGGCATTGTTATTTTCACTGCAGTTTCCAAGAAAACATGTTTTAAAATATTGAAACCTGTCCATAAAATGTACCTTTGAACTGAATTCTCTAGTCTACCAGAGTGTGAATAGCCAATTATATGACGCATGAACATCAATGACTCCCAAGATGTTTTTCCTAGTAAAACATCCTTGTTCTTGATTTACAGTTGTGTAAACATATCCAGGACTCAACACTAACGGGAGCCAACTAGCAACAGAGTAGTAGAAATTCAGTTTTAGCGAGGGGTTATTTATTTCCACCAGCCAGTTTGGCAAGTAAACTGCCTCCTGGTAAGTGCAATTGGGCAGAGCACTAGACTGTTGTGTGGGCAGTCGAGGGTTCGAGCCCCGGCTGGACCAACACTCAAGGTCTTAAAATAACTAAGGAGGATGTGCTACCTTTCTATAATATCAAGAAATGGATAGACATTTTAGTCTTCTCAGATAAGGATGAATAAACCGTAGGTCCTGTCTCCTGCATCTATTTTATCAGTTAATTTGGTTAGGCAGGGCATGTTAAAGAACCCACTCGCAAGATTACTGACATTACCCAGCTGAACCAACACTCAAGGTCTTAAGATAACTGAGGAGAATGTGCTACCTTTTTATAACATCAAGAAATGGATAGACATTCTAGTCTTCTCGGATAAGGACGAATAAACCATAGGTCCCCTCTCCTGCATCTATTTATTAGTTAATTTGGTTAGGCAGGGAACGTTAAAGAACCCACTCGCAATATTACTCTGATGTGGTCTGGCCTATCTACTGGGAATTGGGGGGAGGGGGCATCTGTTAGATTCGCCTTTAATTGATTGTAAACTGCTTAGCAGTCTGGTAAAGTCCCCCGCACAGTGTTGTAAAGCTCAGGATATGAGTGCCATATAAATAAAATTTATTATTATTATTATTTATTATGTGGTCTGGCTTGTTTACCGTTCTGAGCCTGCAGTAATTGGCGTAGGCTGTTGCAGTGTCCCTGCCTGTTGGCGAAGCTAATAAAATAAAATAGTAAACAAACTGAAATAGTTGTAACATCTAAGTTGTCACTAATCACTTGGCTAGTAAGTTGAAATGTTAGTATTGAGCCCTGATTTCCTAATGTTAGTTGTACATGGTGATCTTGGCTATCTATTTGCATATGAAACAATATAGTGCTGTGAGTGGGGAAAGATAAAAAGGAGAAGAGGCCTGAGAGATTTGATGAGGAGTAATATCTCACCAAAACAATAAAGGGTTCATGGTTTATAAGCAATCTTCACTGCTTGCATTAGACCAGCAACCAATCATGAGTTCTGTTCAGGCAGGCTCAAACTGATTAAAACTTGAAATCAAATTTAGGAGCAAGTAGAATTGAACTAAGATCTGTCACACGCAACTGATAGTGAGGTTCTTGCAAAGTCGGTTTTTTCTGGGAGTCTCCAGAGATGCCACAGGGCCCCTCTGTGTTTCTATTGGCAGTCAGAATTTCAATTAGTTAGAGTATTGAATATGACTTGCCGTGTAGTTACGCAAATAATATCATAGGTGACAAATTACTCCTTAATTTTGGAGCGAAATTCCAGCGTTAATTTTAAATTTCACATGTGAAATTACAAAATTGCCATGGTAACATCTCTTGTATCTCGATCAGAGCCAAGATGGTGTTGAGATCTAAGATGGTGACCCTTGAAGAAGTTGCAAAATTAAAAGCGGCCAAAAATTATTAACAGGCACGAAGAATTAGAAAGAAATTGTGAAGAAACTCGGAAAGTTACAAACTAACTTTAACAATAATGCTTTAAACGAAAACTATAATATTGTTCTTCATGTTCTCGGTTTTCGATAGAATAAACCAGTAAAAACAATTACTGTTGTGAACGTAATTTGTCACCCATGATAGGGAAATTATCAGAATTTTGACAAAATGCGCGTGAAATTATTTCTTAATTTCACTCGTCGTCATTTGATTACACATACTAATTTAAGGTGTAAAATATTTGAAAAACTTTTGAATCTCAAAAAAACCTTGATTTTCACGTCCACCTTCTTTGAATTGTAATAAGGATATGAAAACCTCACAAGTCACCTCGAAATTTGGCCCAAATATTTTATTCATCTACTTGTCTGTTATATAATTACTCACGTTCAGTTACTCTTTGATTGAAGATGGCATAAGCATGCCAAAACATGTCTCTCAAAAAAGTTGTCTATTTCTTACAATATTAATCAAAAAACTGTGTGAGAGATTTTGGTTTTCCACATTTTATTTCCTGCTTCTGGCATTAAGTCTAGGAGTAAAATTATGATCAGCAAACTTGACAGAGAAATTGCAAAGCAACCAATAGGAATATTGAAAAATCCCCAAACAATTTTAAGGATTGTTACATCCATTTTGAAATCACTGGTGGTCCCTGTAATCTGATTGGCTCTAACTGGTGCAATTTATTCATGAATGGCATCATTTTTTGCTCTAAATCGCATCATTTTACGCTTGACTGAGGTTTTGACACATGACGTCAGAGTCTTTCTATTTTGCATCAAAATAAGATGTAAAAGTGTTTCTGGTTCCGCTTTTTATTTAAAAACCAGCTCAGTACTGCATCAATAAAATATTTGAATTGACCAAGTCCTGTATTTGGGCAATTTCAAAATGAATGTAATAAAGTGGTAATTGAACCTCGTATTATGCAATTTTGGTCTGAAATCATACTTGTGATTTCAAATCGCACTCATGCTACGCATTTGTTCGATTTTGAAATCGTGTGCATGATTTCAGCCCAAAATGTACTCAACTCAGTTCAATTACCATTATTAATTCCTGATGATTGAAATTGTGCAGAAACTTCATAAGTGTGGTCAGATTTGGCACCCGATTAATTTACTCTGAGAAATATTGTCATACCAGACATGGACAACCGCAAACGTCTCCTTTACCCTTAAGGCACACACCATTGGTCTGAGTTTTCTAGCTAGACAGGTCAAGTTTGCAAGTTAATAGGCTTTGTTTGAGAGGTTACCATCCTTTTTTATAAAAATTACTTCAAAGGATTGGGTAAAACTTGCAAATTGATGGTTTTGGTGGGGCAATTCTGATGAATATTGGAATTCCCCAATGAAAAGCAATCGCTTAGTCAGCTAGCTAGGGCAGTTTAGTCTCAATTTAATATATGTACACATCTACATGTGTGCATTTCTACTTGACCAGCTTTGTGCTTTGGACTTGATGCAAACAGTTCTGTTCTAATATTTATTAGGTGAAAAGCAATTTTAAAAAGCAAACTTTGAGTCAGCAAGATTTCTGTTGGTTTTCAAAAACAGACACTCATTCCTGAAAGATGTATTCGCAATGTACAGTGTACAATAAGCAGGGTGTTTTCTTGTAAGTTCCAGTCACAAACCATTGTTTGTAGCAGGAAAGCAATTTCAAAACTAGCAGTGCTGTTTTTGTAACCATCTTGTATGGAAAATCCTTTAAATCTCCTTTTAACTTATGACCTGCTAATAGTTATACTATACATTACTTAAGTGGATATCTTTACTTTAAGAATGTTATTTGATAAACCATTTAATTTTCTGAACTACATATCCCTATACGTGTGCCAGGAAGGGGAATTTTTAATGATGTGAAAGGATAACTTTCATAGCTATTATAATATTTTGCTTGAGGGTTGTAATGTGTAACTATGTAAAAAATTTTGAATTATGTATTCCAAAATTGAACAATAATCTTTACATGACTCTTTCACTATTGGTACAGATTTCTTGTGATTGATTGTCAATATCTGTTTGGTTTTCTAGAATAAAGTTGTGTTCAGTTTGTGCATTCATTTCTCAATAAGATAAGCATGTTCACTTGTGTTCAAGATGTGTGATGCAAATCTCCTTGTATGTGATGTTATTATAACAGCAATGACACTAGAATCTTCCAAATGCATCAAGATAATGGCTTCCTCCAACCATTTGTATGGATTTAATTAAGAATGCTGTTTTGTTAGGGGGTTGAATTCTATTTCGGTTAGCCACAATAATATTGAGCTAAGCCAACCCTAGTCTAGAAAATTCCATAAGATTTGAAGCAGGTCTTGTTACTCATTATTTATTTAAAATATTTTGACATTAATTCACCTAAGTTTAGCCCAGACCTGCTTACTGCAAACAAATCTGGGTTAAATGCAACTTCAAGAAAGCTTTTTTAGGTTTCCAGAAATTGACAAGCCAGGAGGGCTTGCTAGAAAAATATTAATTTAAGCTCTGGTGGACATAAAAATATTCAGAGCTGTGAATCTGTGATTTTGGCACATGGCTCTTACTAGTCTCCGAGGTAAGAAATTCATGTTATTGTTGGCTTGTTCTCAATGACCGTAACTCTTTGGAAATGATTCATTCAGTAGTTTTACTCATTTGGACAATGATTCTAAAGATATTATGGTGTCACTGTATTCATCTGTGTGAAAATTTCAGACTTTCACAGAGCAAATGTTTTTTGAAGTGTGACTTGTCTCAAATGTAAATGACAAATTTGCAATCTAGAGGTCTGGGAGACATCAGTACAAGTTCTTTCTAGTTAAATACAGCATTGTTCAAGTCTTCACCTACTAGATTTTATTTACAAGTTATTTTAATCAAAACTTGAACAAACTATAAAAGAAATTTGATATTTATTATTTTAAGGAAAACTTGAAGTTGCATCATATCCCAGTTATCCAATTAACTTGAACATGTGTTTACAAACAGAAAGCACTGTACTTTGTACTTTGTACATTGTACATTTTTTTTAAATTTACTAAGAAAGAAGTGTAAATACATTGTTAAAAATAATTTTTTTGTACTATTACTCTCACAAGGCACAGTTAAGGACTTTCATTGATATTTTGCTCAAAGTAAACAGTTATGCTTTGTCTCTTTCCCTGTGGATGACAGTTGATTGTGTGATAGATAAACTGGAGCAAACTATTTGTTACTTTGATGTGATGGTTTAATTCTGAGACAAAATGGCACAATGCAGTGTGTATTGCACTTACATTTAGGAATTTGATTTAAGATCAGTAATTTTTTCCATTTTATCTGTCAATGTTTTTAATTTAAAAATACATACCATTAGAAATTACCCAAGCGTAAAAAATTATCCTCAATGCCTGACCAAACAGAGCCTTTGACATATCCCATATGCAATATAACTTGTTTATAATATGTCTTGAAGCTGCCCTTGCAGATAGTAAGATATTAGCTCATTTGAAAGCTGTTTAAAAGTGCAGTGTCTAAATTTCCTATATATCAAGCTATGTGATGTTTGTTTAATTCAATTTCAAACCTATGCTATTGATTTTCAAAGTGAAATGTTTAGGCCATGAACAATTTGAGTTCCAGTTACTGTTTATACCCTGTGATTCTCAGTCGTAACAAAGTTGAATGAGATACTTTTTGTAAGTTTGATAGTTCGATCCTTCCTCATATATGCATTAGCTATGTTCCTTTCTCTATAATTTATGTATGCAATTAATTGATCTTCCGAATATTGATTTAAGGAAGTGAACTTTCATATTATGTCATTAAGAATTCATATTAGGTTTAATTTATGTAAGCTCTGTCACCCTTGTCAAATTTTGATATGTGACTTAACAATGTATTGTTATGATTGATTGGCCAGATGCATTGTGTTTGCGGTCAGACCTTGAATTTTTTATGGTAATGATGAAATAATGGTTTAACAGGGCTGATTCTCCAGACAATTTCTTCCATATGACATTGTAAACGTCTGGGACTTTGAGAGAAATTCTGTGGTGAGGGCAACATGTAAATGCCTTGTAAGATCAAAATTGCTAAAACTATTCTGTTATGATTTGTGGACTCAGTTTACAGGTAATCATGTCCTAGTCTTTCTGACTCTAACCATTCTTGTAATGAATACAAAATGTATGTGGCAAACTCACCATAGTTCTTTGGTTTAAAACATATGTACATCCACTCTGTGGTTAAGGTAACAATGTTGCTTCAGAAATTTGATAGTTTTTCCAGGTGGAAGTTCAAGCCATATTTATCTTTGGCACATTTTCAGATTCTTTTGTGTTTGATTTTCCAAGTGACACAGCTGAGTGGTTGAGGCAATTTAATTTTAAATTGTTCATGTTAAACCCATGCACAACTCCTCTGCAACCAGTTTTCTTGTCCCTCTAAATTCCTTTCGTTGACACATTAATTTTACAATGTCCTTCATCAGGACAAAGGAACTAAATTTAAGAATACTGATAAATGGAAAATTCTTTTTCCTATTTTATTCACGGATGTAAATCTTCCTTTTGATCAAAAAACAATATTAGACACTTTAATTTTTTTCTTCACAGCATTGTTGTTATAGATAATGGATGACAGATTTCCTTCAGACAATGTTCCTGATATGACAAACCACCAAGAAAACTGTAATCACACTCCTGCTGAGGTAGGCTGTTTCACTGCAGTATTCCTTTCTAGTGATTCTATATTCTTATGTATACCTAACGACTATAAATTATACCAAAGTGGAGGTGGCTAGTGGTGGATTTTTACTAAGCTCTGAGGCAGGGAAGTCAGTATTTACCACCAGCCACTGTCTGTCAGACAATTTTTATCATCATGATGTTAGTTCAGGGAAATTGGTATTGATCGGATCAACTAATAATTCCCAACTTAATTTTTTTCCTTTATTCTCATCACTTGTCTGCTTGATGATATTGATTTGAGAAACTCTGTCTTAATCACCCTTGGTAGCTAAATGGTGAAAAGCATATTGCTGTCACCAAGTGAACAAACAAACGCAAAAACTATCATAGTGCTATAGGAGGCGATGAGTCTTTCTTCACAACAGTACACAGAACTCATGGATTCTTCTTTGTGTTCTTGTTTATTCTCTATGCAATAACTCACTAAGGGGACTTATAACTCACAATAAACTTGGAAAACTCTCTGAAAAACTCGATATTTTTGTCATGTGTGGTTGTCTGATTTTGCTCTTGTGTGTTCATTACCTTATGTGGTGGTACTTGCAAGTGTCACAAATTAAAGAGGGGTGGGGGTTAGCCAAAACTCTTGTACAGTGGTGTGGCTGAGTGGTTGGTGGCCCAAGGTTAAGTCCTCCACCCTGCTCTTCTCTGGATTTGTTCTCAGTCACCCAGAGTTCAACTCCTTCTGCCAGTTGGGATTTATTTTCCAGTACTTTGTGTTTTTATGAAATCTTTGTTTCTCTCTTTTAGATTGTAAAGTGCTTCTAAAGAGGCTTGCAAGAAGCACTATAAGACTGAAATGTTGTTAAATTAGTTGTGACATTTGAACCTCAGTTAATACTAACAGTGATCTAAATGAAATGTAACACTTTCAGAAATCCAAAACCCCTGTGGTTACCACTGCTGAAGTTTCAAGTGACCAGAGCACAAAAGCAGATTCCCCAGAACAGCCACAAGCTATCACCATGGCAACCCAACCCAAGCCCTCTCTAAGTACTGTTCATGTACAGCAGAGCTTTCATGGAATCCGTTCATCCATACCTGTATTGACTCACTCAGCTTCTGAGGTAAAATTTGCCTCCTGTATTTCCTGTAACTTAGATCTCTGTCAACCTTTGATACCCTTACATTAGTTTGCTTATTCTCCATACCGTTATCCAAAGGTGATAATTATGAGAATATGTTTAACGATCAAGAGCTTATTTAGTTGGTGACTGTTTCCTTTATTTTTGTGACCTTAATGGGTGACTCAGAGGTAATATTGTGTGGAGAAATGGGATTCTCATCACTCCTAAAGATCAAAGAGATAAATGGTTACCTTTTTATTTTTGGACTTGCTAGATTCTTACAACTATCTAATTGTTATTCACCTGTTTTACACTGTTGCCTTGTGAAAGTTCACTGGAGAAAAATGACTGTGATTAAAGTGACTGGGATAAAAGTGATTGGGTTAACTCTTGTTAGCTTGAAGCAAACTAAGTGACTTATATATACTTCACCAAACTTCACAACTCCTGACTGCAGTCTTTTAATGCAGAGTTATTTAGTTTTAACATGGAATGATGTACAGTTGTATAAAGTTGAGGAAGACAAGTGCCTCACTAACTTTTGCAACATACGAGGTTGCTAACAAAAGTAGCAAAAAAAAAAAATCATTTTAGACAGTGAGATGTTAATTGGCTGACCAATTTGTTTTTTTTTTTGGTTTTGTTTTGTTTTTTCAAAGATGACTTTTTGCCATAGTACTCTTTAGATTTTAGTCCACTTCTTTTCAGTGGTCAACCTCTATTTAGAGCTCATTTCCTGAATGTGGCTGCTGAATAAACATTTTACTATGTTTGTAGTGAGTCAAATTGAGCGCACTTTAAGGAAATATAAAACTGTTCTGAGCCTGATGTTCACCTAACCTACATGACTTAGGAACAACCTATTCTAATGATTATGAGTGACATGAGAGGATCATCATCAACAATGAGTACTGATTGATGTTGAAATTTTACTTGTTCAACTTACAGCCAACTTATCAGTCAAGGAAAACTCTTGTGCGAAGCGTTGCTGTGACAAGTGTTCCTTCACCTCCACCCTCTCAGTACCCAGAAGAGGTCAGAGGTTTGAAAAATAGAACTTCATAAATAAACTTGGACTTTCAGGTGTTCTGGTAACACTTTTGAACCATGAGCAGTTCCTTCCTTTTCAGCAAAGTTCATTTCGTAAGTAACAAAAAGTGACACCAATGCACCACAGGAGCTCATTCCATGGGTGAGGTGCCTAACTCATGGAGCTCCTGCGGCACATCGGGGTCATTTCAAGAGTTTCCCAAAGTACGCTAATGTCAATTTTGTCTTCACTGATACTTTTTGACTTGCGCAACGGACTTCACTGAAAAGGAGGGATTGCTTGTAGTCTAAAGCATTGTTAGCTCCTACATTTCCATTGATAAGAATTTTCTGGGCTGGTTCTGATATGATTGTCTAATTCATTCTAAATCTAACTTATGCTTCATGTTACTTGAATTTTCAAGAGAAATTGGAAAGGGGTGAGTTACATGTATCAGGGGTTGGTGTCAGGTGAAACTGAGCTAAAATGTTCAGAGGTTGACAGAAACAAGCATCCATTCGACTTGATCTTTTTTCTACTTGTTTTGATTGGTCATGTACTGTCAAACTTGGTTTGGGTAATTGAGTGTAAAATTATATGGAGTGTCCTGACGTTAGCAGGAGGGGTAAGTTCTAGAGGGTAGAAGTTGGCTAAGTGAAAATCAGTGGTGAATTTATGTTTTAAATCAAGGCAAACTCAATTATCCTTTGAGTAACAGACTGTGTTCAAGCTAAGGAAGCTCGCATGCAAATTTAATATGGGGGAGAGTACATGCATATTTGTGCTAGTACTTTAAATTTGTTGGAAGATCCATTTAGAGAAAAGATCACCCTTGGTTGAGAAAGAGAAGTGGCCTTTTTGATCAAGTCACTTCCTCAGTGTCTAATGTGAGTTTCATTTCATTCAATTAGGGTGCAGTGCTAAGTAAAAATACCAGTATTGAATCCTGCGACAGTGGAATTGCAGGAGAGTTACCCCCCAGGCTTGAGGCCTTGGCAAGAGCCTCCAAACAGAGTTCACTTTCCAGAGGCAAGTACGCATGTACTAATAATTATTATTTTTTTTGTAGGTATTTTTTAAAAGATTTAACCTTGTAACTTCCAAGATCTGATTGTTAATTCTCCCCTCTAGCAGCTACACATTTCCTTGTAAATTAATAATTTGAGTATATCAACAAAGTTGAAATGGTAAATTGGCCACCGTTACGATTATAAAAGCTGATGTTTTGAGTGTTAGCCCTTTTTCGGAGTGAATGACGAAGGGCTAACGCTCGAAACGTCAGCTTTTATAATCATTACGGTGGCCAATTTACCATTTCAACTTTGTTGATATACTCAAATTATTTCGTTACCCCCACCAACGCAGCCCCAAACAGTTTCTTTAGAAACTATCATCCTTTATCCTTGTAAATTAGTTACTGTACAAGGATTTGATGTAAGACGGAGATGACAACTTTTATCTGATAAGTTTGAGTATTCTCATTACCCATTTGCTGTGTGATGTATGGTTACTATAGGGAGAAGTTACATGTCAATCACCTCTGGGAATTATAAGGTTAAGATTTTATCAGGGCTGGTGATGAGATTAAAAGTAGAAGGCAAATTTTTGGTGGCTTGGTCGTCATGGACACCTTGTTGTTGTGTCCGATAAAATGTAAGACTGGGAACTAGCATGACGTTGCATGAACCTTAAAGCAAATTCTGATTGTGGAATTGCATCACTCTGGTTAATGATTAATTTCCTGTAACTGATTCATTCATTTCCACATAAACTGTCAATGGTCTCCCAACATTCCATCAATGGTTGCTGAACAAATTACTTCAGGGTTATTTCAAAAATTTTGTAAGTTTTCATTAGCACTTACAGTAAAATGCAATGAAAGTGGCTGGCTAAAGATGGTGGACTACCAAAAATTTTGGCTGGGTATTAACTCAATTGTTTTTGGCTTATGAATAAAGAGGGTAAGTTTCTAAAGAAAACTGTTGTGCTGCATTGGTGGGGGTAACAAGGTGATTTGGTATATCAACTAGTTGAAATTGTAAATTGGCCTCCATAAAGAGTTAAAAAGCTATGTTTTTGGCTTAGTTGTCAAGTCATTGTGTACAATAATTGATTTAGTAATACATCTAGCTTGCCCCTTTAACAATCCTTTCTGATGGAAAAAAAAAAATTAGAAACAAACTAAAACTAAAACTAATATGCTATACCCCATATAAAAGCAAGCCACGATTTGTTTTCAAGTGAACAATATGCAATCTTTACTTAATTTTCATCTTGTTCTTCATTTCTTGTTTATTCTGGTCTCATGTATGTTTGTTTTTCTACTGTTCTTGCAGATGGTTCATTTGAATACACAGATTCTACAGGAACTGACCTACATGATTTTATTATAAAGACTCTTCGCAATCCCAGGTAAGCTGTCATGTTGCTTTCCAACATAGTTTTTGGCTTTTCTTAACCCTCTACAGTGTACACCCTTAAATCAGTATTGGTATTCTCTGTACTCTTTTCTATACATTTTATTTAGTACTAGCAAGGAGAATTGGTTAAACAATCAAAGCTTCTTAGGTTTGTGATCAATACCTTTATTCTCGTGATCTTAATGAATGCTTCAGCAGTTTAACTGCAAGGAGCAAATAGATGCTGGTCAAGCTTAGGGTTTTTAAAGGTGAATGCATGCATGCATGCAGTAGCTGCCAAAAGGAACAAGTTTATTGTATTGACAGTCACCTTTTTTTCTCATTTCTCAGGGATAGAAAATTTCTCATGAGACTTGAACAAGATTTCCTTAATTTTATTCAGCAACCAGCGTAAGTATTGTAAAGTTACATCAAAGCACAACCAATGAATCCTTTCACTCTTACAATCTCATTGGTGATTTTCCTTACTGTCTGCCATACTGTTCGTATGATGTTGGTTTGGAGAATCTTGTATTGGATCAACCTAAAATCCCCTAATTGATATTTTTCTTTATTCTCATTTGTTTGTTTGATATTTAACAATTATTCCACTAGCGCGCATTGGATATGAGATGATAGGTAGCCAACGAGGCACGTAGCGCCGAGTTGGCTATAATCATCTCATATCCAACAAGCATGTGTGGAATAATTGTTTTAATAAAAAAAAAAGACGCCCCCAAAATATTAGACAAATCTTCTCACCTTTATTTTGTAAGAAGAAACCGGATGTTACAATGCACAGATATTATATCATGGTATATTGGCTCATATACCATAATGGCTAAGCCAATAAAAAGTCTTGAATTGCATTATCCAATGATCCAGTTTTTAAATAATGTATTGATATTGTAAGGCAAAGTTCTGTCTTGGTCACTCATGGGAGTTCAACGTTAATGCAGTCTGGAAGTGTTCAGTTTATCAAACAGCTGTGGTGATGGTAGGATCAGATCTAAAATCTTATTTCTCTTTCTTTGCTCTCTCTCCCTCTTTTCTGGTCCAGTCTCTTCCTTCACTATCCTCCAATGACGTCATACCACCGCATGATCGTGCACAGAGTTGCAGCTTACTTTGGTATGGATCACAATGTTGATCAACAAACAGGAAAGTCAGTGATAATAAACAAAACAGTGAATACAAGAATGTAAGTATACAGATTCACTTGTTCTGTGTGTAATTTTTGGAGGCACGTATCTAACAAATTTAGGAGCGGCGTTAATCAAGTTGTGATCTAAAGTGGTGGGCAAAAAGGATGTCAACCTTGTATCCAATCTCATCATAACAGACCCTTAATAATTTTGTGACTTTTGTGTTTTATCACTGTAAAAAGTAGCAGTAGGATAACAGAAAGAGTTATTTTGGATATTAAAACATGACAGAGATTAGAAGCAAAAATGATCAGAAGGGTTCAAACCCCCTTCCCATCAGACCAGTGGACTATCTTACCATTTGTCCGGTCCACACAAAAATGCCTGTAACACAGGATCATATGTCACCACTCACTATGAGGGATATAAAGTCAACTTGTCTAGAAATGTTTCTCAGCTGATGTAGGCTCTTGTTTAAGAGAAACATTTTGAGTTTATTAATCGAAGTTTGGATCTCTTCCCTCCCCCTTCCCTGTGGCGGGTCCAGGGGGAGGGTCCGGGGGGTCCGGATCCCCCCCCCTAACAGACCTGACGCTTACAACTTTGAGACTGAAATTCTTACATCCGCAGGATCGTATATCACTTTTTGGCTGATTTTTTTAATTAATGAATCCAAGTAAACGGCAAGCGGCCAAGGAATTATAACGTGCAACCGCGACTGGTGGGAGGGGGTGTAGGGGGTGTGGGGGAGAAGTAATTTGCCTCAAAAGAGTCCAATAGTCTTTTCTGTACCAAAGTTTGGACCTCCCCCAAAAATAAATTCCTGGATCCGCCCCTGCTTCCCCATATAAAAAAGTCCTGGGATTTGCCCCTGTTCATTTACTTCAGGCTACTAAAACTGGCCTCAAGTCAATTCAGTTTTGTGTATACTGACGTAATTCCCCCCCTGCCAACTCCCCCCAAAAAAGGAAGTAAAAATAAACAGTTATCCTTTTTGTTCCTTTGCAGACCTGAAAGCAGATTTTTAGAACTGATCCCCAGAGAGGAATCAGAGGACTCCGAGAGTTCAATGCCACGATTAATTCTCAAAAGACAAAATACACCGTCAGACGAAACCACTCCTCCAAAGGTATTGTGCAATTTTGCTGATAAAAATTTCTCCAATTCTTTAACTTGATTTTTTTTTTTTTGTTTCAATTTCAAATACTGTCGATTCTATTCCATTTGTAGATTGACAGTCCTGTTCTTATACATTCTATGGAGGATAAGCGCTCCAAATCCATTGAAGAACGTGAAGAAGAGTACCACAAAGCTAGGGAGAGGATCTTCAACCAAGACGTAAGTTTCTGTGGTTTGACGACAGGGTCAGTTTTTTTATTTATTACATCCATTTGAAATCACTAGTGGTCCCTGTAATCTGATTGGCTCTAAGTGGTGTGATTTATTCACAAATCGCACCATTTTTTGCTCTAAATCGCATCATTTTACGCTTGACTGAGTTTTTGACACATGACGTCAAAGTCTTTCTGTTTTGCATACAAAATAAGATGTAAAAGCGTTTCCCGGTTCCACTTTTTATTTAAAAAACCAGCTCAATACTGCATCAGTAAAATATTTGAATTGATCAAGTCCTGTATTTGGGCAATTTCAAAATGGATGTAATAAAGTGGTAATTGAACNTATCGACAACGCAGCTGAGTGAGTCCGCAACAAATTTCGACCACTTGCACTTGTAACCGTTGTATCTGTTGCGTTCATCGAAGGAACACTATTGGGGGGTATCCTGGGTGCCAGAGGGGTTTTTTTTTTTTCTTTTTTTAGCAGCGAAACCGCTAACGGCGAGCGGAAAAGCCGCGATCGTTGGCAAGCGAAAAAAAAAAAGCTTTGCCGCCCACTGTAATCGGTTTCGTTGCTAAAAAAAAAAAAAGCTCTCTGGCATCCGGGGTACTACTGGGGGCATTTTTGTCTTTATTTCAGGGGTGACCCCTTAGTGCCTGCACCACTGTGCTTGGTTTCAATATGATATGCACAAAGGTAGAGCACAGATAGTTTTCTTCAAGAACTAATATGAGTTATTTTTTTTTTCCAATTTTGTAGTCTATATCATCTCAGTCATCACAGTCTTCGAAAGGCGAAAGTGATATGATAGTCCCTCAACTTTTACAAAGGTAACTTTATGTTTTGTGTTGGCCGGTAGGACCTTGTAGGAAAAAAAAAACTGTGACCAGGGGTTTTTTTTTTTAACAGCTTAAGGTATTACACTTGGAGACCATAAAGAGAAATGTGGAAAAGTGTTTTTCTAGAGCTCCAGTGAAATCGTAATCACTACGTTCAACCAAAAGTAAATGTAAATTACACCAAGAACCAGTGAGAACTCAGATCTCAACCTGCCCGGAGCGCGGGAAATATAAGAGTGACCAATTGAAAGTTCGTGTTACAGTTGTGGGAAGGAGTCTGATTGGTTGTTAAGAGGTGGGAGCGGGAGTTTCTAAACCAATCACATCGCAAAGAACTCGAATAGAAATCGTTGTTTTACGGTGTTAAAATTAAAATTGCTCTTCATTGGAGCAAACTGCCCTAAACTTAGACAGTTACTTATACACCAACAATTTCGGTCAGTTCTGGTGTGTTACTTATGTGAATAGGGGAGATTTGTTTTATTTTGGAAACAAAAGAGAGTGCATGACACTAAATCTCTCTGGATGACAAGAGATCAAGTACAAATGCCTGTACAATCAAACATACTGGTTTTACCAGATATTGCAGGAGGTTCTTTTTTTTTGTTTTTTTGTTGTTTTTTTTTTTTTGCTCACCGTGACTCATCAACATTTTTCCAGAGAGGACATGGAGAATGTTGGTGATGTGGTTGATGATGAAAAACTTGAGAGGCTACCTATAAGTAAAATTGGTAAGTCCAAATCAGAGGAAGTGGATGTCACGGGAGACAGGTCCTCGACTGGGACGTCGGGTGAGAAAATTAGGATTTTTTTTGCTTACATAACTCGTACCAGAAATCGTCTGATGGGATGCGCTGATACGCGTTGTAATCATTTAAATTTTGGTCACTGCAGGTATTAAAATAATGACGAACAAGGCATTTACGAGGTCCAGCAGTAGCCCAGGAATAAGCCATATTAGCGGTTCCCCCGCCTTGGAGCGTGTCTCCAATTCTGTTCGTCGAGCATCAGATGGAAACCAGCGGCAGCGCCATCTACCAAGCTCACAGTCTGTCATATCAGCTCCGCTACCTTACTGGGTGGCAGAGGGTACCCCCTTAGTTGTTCCCTCGGGGGAGATGCAGATGCTCCCGGTGCAATCTCCTGGAATGCAAGGGATGCCTGTACCCGTCATGGCTGCACCGGCTCCTTCGTCACAACAAAGTGGTAATTGTAGTTTGTTATGGTATGCCAATGGCGGATCTAGGGAAGGGGCCTGGGAGACCCGCCCCCTAACTTATTTTGGATAGAAAAAATCGCAGAAGGAAGAAAAGCCGGCAGGTGTACACACACGAAAAAAAAAAAAAAAACTGGGATCCCCCCTTTAGCTCAAGCTCTGCATCCACCACAGTATGCATACCTGGCATCACTTGTTCAATTGGGAAATGTCACGGGTTCTAAACCTCAACTAAGTAGAGCAGTTTTCTCTCACTGTCACACCAAACAATATCGTAGCCGCATATGGCAAATACTAATTTTGACACAGGACACTTTCTTATAAACTCAGATGAACTGAAGGAATGTTGAACCAAGACAACCAATTTTATCCAAACACAATCTTTTTTTCATTTCATGAGAGTTCTAGCTGGCATGTAAAACTTGGCGATTTTTTTCTTTAATTTATACAAAATTATAGATCCCCTTGCTTTGCCGTTTTCAATATTTTTTTTTAATGGCCCTTAAACTTATGTCTTGTTCCGTTGTTCATAAGGTGGAGTGATGTGGTCAGTGCCGCAAGAGCCTTTACAACCGGGAGTGATGCTTATAAATCCCAATACAGGTATCCTTAATTGACAATAGTCCATTTTACTGTGGCATGCTTAGTTGGCAAGCCCTTAAGCAGGAGTGAGGCTGAGGGTGACCTTGTTCTGATACAGACGTCGCTGCTTTTCAAAAGTAAATTACTTTATCATGCTAACTTGATACTGGTCTCTTTCGCAACAAGGTCACCTTCAGCCTCACTCCAAATTAAAGGCTTGGCAACCAAGTACATAACTGTAAAATGGCCTTTTACCTTTTCCAAGGAAGTGACATCCCTGTCGTAGGAACCGATTTCGTTTTTTCAGGAAGTTTGTATTATCGAAGTGAATCCCCCCTGTTTTCTGAACTTTGTGCAACTTTCTCTCGGTACCCAGGGACACCTTTGCTAGGACCTGACGGAAATCCATTGGTAATGCAACCAGCCTATCAGCAGGTCATGATGAAACCAGGCTCAACCTCAGGCTACACTCAGCCATCGACTGTTCGCACACCTGTGCAGGCTGCACAACAGCCTTCCGCCATTGCGCAACAGCAGCAGCAGTCGCAACAACAACAGCAACAGGCCCAGACAGCGGTGAATTCTGGTCAGATTGTGATGCCGCAGTATGTCAATATGCCGCCACCGGTGTATGTTTTACCGTCCAGCGGTCGACCCCCATTTGCACAGCAACAGGCTGTAAGTTTTCCCAATCAGTTCTCAACTTCTTCTCACATATACCCTTTGTCTAGAGATTTCAGTTCACTTTCGTTCAAAAAACTGTAATTGTGTCTTAGTTTTGGTAAATAGACAGTGCAAATAGTTGAGTCAGAAAGGTGATTAACTAGTTAGCTATCGTAATAACGTTGAAAATTATATTCCATTTTTTGTGTACATTTTTATTTCATTTTTCACTACGTCGCAAGCTCTTTTATAGTGATTACTCACTGTTCATCGATTGGTTTTAATAAAGCTGAAAGCAACACGGTAAAACGTCCGGAAAGAATTGTTTTTTTTTATTATTATTATTTTAGGAAGAATTACAATTGCTGTAATAAAAATTGTGTCAATAAAAGAGTTGCCTTTTTACGCCTCTTGCATTGTAATTTGATAATGAAATCTTTCAAGATGAACTTATTGGTTCGTTACTGGTTAACTGACAAGGATTGAATTGCTGAGGAACGAATGAGAACAGAAAAGAATGTTAAAAACTGTCCGCCTAAATTATTTAGTCTTCTTTGGCAGCAATGAAACGTGATTAAGGGTCAAACCATGTGACCAAAATCTTCGGACGATGGTTCAAATACCTGAGTTTATTTATATAAATTCTCTATACTGAAAACCACGTTCTAAGAAAGAGAAAATATCTCGCTCAATTCGACTCTAATTCATTAAAACGTTTTTTGATGATCAAAAAAAAGTTCCCCTTTTTTGCTTGATGGTAATTTTTAAGCGTTTTGTTTTTCGCAAAGTTTGTAGATTATTTGTATTGAATAAGAACAAGAGGAAGGAACGCCTTATCGTTTAACTGCTTTGATGAGTTGTAGTTACCTGTTTTTGATATGTAGGCAGATAGCCAGGAAGTCAGTTCAACATGAGCAAGGGTTGACGTCTTTTTCCTCTCTTATGATACTATTTTGTTGTCAAGCGGGACAAATAACTTGCAAGTTTTATTCTGTTTTTGCTGATCGAAATAACGCGTTACATAGAGAAATTTTCAATTTCGTGTCGAAAGTAATCAGGACTTTCTTTGTTTTCGTTTTGTTTTACCTCGCTCTGTGATTGGTCCAGGAAACTTGCTCCGTCCTCCCAACCAATCAAATGCAAAACGAACATCCGCGTTTTCCCGCGCTTTTGGTAGTCCGATTTAACTGTGAGTTCTCATTGGCTAATGATGATGTTATCCTTTATTTTGATTGGCCATAGTGATTATTTTGGATTCGGTCCTGCGACAGTCGATTGAAACCTGCTCTACGGGATGAATTTGAACGAGATAACGAATTGATATACGAGATGGTGTTCGCTCTGTCCTTCACCGTCGCGGAATTTTGAGCTTATTCCTTTACACTGAAAATGTGGTGACCGGAAAATATTTCGGTTATTATACCTGGTTTCACAACTTTGAAAGCAAAAGAAGCTTTTGGCAAATGGACAGCGTAACCCTCTCCTTCCCGCGAAAAAGGATTCGCTGCATAAACAGAGTTCTTTTTGTTGAAGGTCCACTACATCGCAAACGGAAGGGACTAATGCGTCAAACTCTATGTGATTCTGAGAATGATTTCAGAAAGTTTTGTTTTGGTTACGAGCTCTTAAGGGCCATTCATAAAGGAATGTTGCATTATTAATTAACGAAATAGACAGCCTAGACATGTGGCACTTCCTGCATGTATCTAGAAACAGTTTTATCATGCCTCATTTCCTTTCTTGCTCCCGGTTATTTATTTTTTTTATTCTACGACGAGTGAGCCTTAACTCATTTCGCTCTTGAATGCCGAAATTCTAGGGAGCAGAGACGGGAAGTCATTGGTCAGCATCAGCTCAGCCGGCAACCTCAGGTAATCCGGGATATCAGGACATGACTGCTCAGTTTGGCGCGCTTTCACTTTCGGGACAAGCCACTCTGGAGACAACTTCATATCACCACCAACAACAGTACGCCGAGTCAGGCGTGCCGAGCTCCACTCGTACAACATCGCCAATGTACGTAAACAGTGTCACGCAAGGTGGTCAAATGCAGTATGTTGTGTTACCTCCATCAGGCATGCAGTCGCAGATGAGGCCGTTGATACAAAGCCAACCTTACGGTGCTCAAGCGGTCCCCCAGACTCCAAACCCTCAGCAATACCAAAGTTACGTGGTTTCACCGACTCAAACACCTTATCAACAATTCCCTTACGGAACCCTTCCTAAAGATGTTACTTCCTCTGTCATTCAACAACACGCTCGATCCCAGACACCACCCACCCCTCCCCAGACAGCGTCGCCTGCTCATACGAGCCAGTATTTGCAGCAACAACAACAGCAGCATGCTCAGGCGCAACTGACATATTCATCTCAAATTCCTCAGCAGTCACCGCAACAGACGCATACCACGCCATATCAGCAACAAACGACCTCGTCCCATACCCCACAGCAACTCCTTCGACCTATGGTACCTGTAGTCATTCAAGGAGGTCGTAGCGTTGCCATGGCACCTGCTGTCGGGCAACAGGGTCCAGTCCCTTCTCAGTACCAACAGACTCCGCATGTTCAGAACCAGTATCCCTCCAATCAGAGGAGAGTGTTTAATATTGAAAGACGCGCTTTTAAAGCAGGGGAGATGTACAGCTCTGAAGCTGTCATGCAGGGCTCCCCCTCTTTAGTGTCTTATGGGGATGGATCAATACCCACTGGCTATGAGATTCAGGGAGAGAGGAGCCAATTCAATCAATATCCGTATCAAAGGTAAAATTAATTCTTCTTTCCGAGTTTAATTGTTTTGTTTCTTTATCAATTTTTCAAGGTCATCTTTTTGTTGATTTGCAAATTCAAGACAAATTTTATGGCCAAGTGTCAATTTTTATACGTGTGGTGTCCTTTTACGCGAGACCGTAATTAAAGGAAAACTCCAGTTTTCACCGTAGGGAAAGGGTTGATATAGCGTTTGACTGGGAGGCAAAACTGGGGATTGAAAGAATCGCCCTAAGCAGAACTGTCCACTTACGAGAGTGGCCGCCGTTTTTTTTTTAAGATTTGACTGTATCTCTGAACCGCAGCAGGATACCTCACTGCCCCTCTTTTTTTTCCTCTTGGTTCTACCATGGTTTATGGTCGTGAGTTCTCTTTTGACTCGCTCAGACGTTTGACAGCGCTGTGATAAGGCATTCTTGTGGGCGGCCACACGATCTCGTGACCGAGATGTTATTAGTTCCTTTGCTGTGATTGGCCTAGTAAAGTCACGTGACCGAGCAAAGTCTCGTGACCGTGTTGTTGTTGGTTTCTTTTTTGTGATTGGCCGACTAAGTCACGTGATTTTTTTCCACCTTTTTCAGATACGGTTCCTCGGGGCAGTCTGCAAATCAACCGTACAACAAACAGAAAAATAAACAATTCAAAGAAAGGCGAGGAAGCCCACGGGTACAACATCAGGATACGGGCAAAAAACACGGCCGTAAAACTCCAGAAACTGAGAGGACGGCTGGTGAACAGTGACGACTAAGAGATTTTAATGGCCACGTGTTTCAGTGTGTGAGTATTCTTTTTAAGACGACAGGTTTGGAATGTTGTGTTTGACTGCTTTCTAAGATCCGCAGAGGTGTGCGCGCTTGAAGCGACACAAAGCAGCTACATGTCGCTTCGTGTAAATTTTCGTAATAATAGAGAGATTTAGCACCGCGTTTACGTAAAACGGCAAACGTCAGCCGTTTTTTCACGTTTCACGCAAAAATGGCGTGAACCTTGGTGCTTTAGCTTCGTGGAAGCTCGCGTCATGGCGGATTTGAAGGCCCCCTTATATGACACACGAGAAATCATTTTGGCGCTCTTTTTTTTTTCGGCTATTAGCTTGTACTCTGTGAGAAAAGTGAAGAAAATTCTACGTACGCGACAAATGCGAAACAGGCTACTTTCACGAAGAAACGGCAAAGCTTGACCAGCCAACGTGAAAAAATGGCGGGAAAAACGAAGTCACGTGGTCACTCCTGCCGTTCACGTTTCACGTAAACGTTTCTGCTCCTATGCAACCGTTTTAACAGCAAGAAATTGAAAATTGAACCTAGCCAAAAATGTTTTAAACTAAAGGAAAACTCGGAATCTCAGCACATCAAGATATTCTATATACAAGGCTAAAAGATTAGGAAAAAATTATTAAAATGTTTAAACCAAACGTTTTCGGCTGTTTGCCATCATCAGGGTTCATATCAGCTTTTGCTAGAAAGGGAATATCGTTTGACAGTTAGGGAGGGTGACAGGGGCAGGGTTTAGTACGCCCGTAACTTCTTTAGAGAAAATGAAAAAAAATTAAGCTCATTTTTCTGCAATTTTTATCTTTCAGGAGTCGGCCTTATTCTGGAGGCGTATGACTCACCCAAGGGAATTAACAAATTATGTGAAAAATGGATTATTTGACGATCTGGTGAAGACTGGGGCCCGGTTCAAGTGGATTGTGCGCTGCTTCGAGCGGATCACAAGAGAGTCCGGTCGTCGCAATTTTCCCTTCTTCGACAGCAGCCGAACATGCTCTTAATACAATGTCACGCTTCAAATTTAAACTTCGCCATTCTCAAAAAAACGAGCAGTCACGCTTATGCGGATTCGAACGCTTCTATTTCGTCCTCGTCGTAGATGTTTTTACGTTCCGCTTTACCCGAAAACGTTATTTTTATTTTATATTTGATTTTTTATATGAATTGCGCGGCGGAAACTTCCAAGTATTACTAATTATAGGCCTCTAGTCCTAATGTGCTTTAGCCTGGTTCAAATATTGCTCTAGTTGTAAGAAATGGTATAGAATTAAATTGAAGTAATTTAGAAAAGTAAACCGTTTCAGTGTGCAGTCTTTTGCGCGACTGGCCCTCTGTTATGAGTAACCCATTCATTCTTACGAGACCCTGAGTCACGTGACTCTATTCAAAAGAGTGACTTTGTTAACTTGCTAACTCGTTCTAAACAGTTAATAGTATCCATTAGCGTTATCTAACCACGCAGAATTTAATTTCACGGGTTATGTCAAATTACCTCAATATGTACGGTAGAAAATTCTTCATAAAAGAAGGAAGGGAAAATAAGAATTGTCAGTCGGTGCAATTCTAAGGAGTTGAGTTCATTAGGGTTAGCATCTTTATGATCAAAGCGGGTTTAATCTGAAAGAACAAAAATAGCAGCGAATCATGGCTAAAACGCTAGACACCTTACAAGCCACAACAACGAAAGACGAGATCCCTATAGTTTTATGGGCCTGCATGTACATGATAACCAGAAAGAAAGGAATGACCTTTAAAATATATTTTCCCTCTATAGTGAGAAAAGTAACTCGCTTTTTGCGCAAATGTTCGAAACATTTCCTTTAAAGCCGTCCTTGGGTCTGTTTTATTAGGAATCTACGTCTCTGTAATCATTTTGCATTTTACATTTATATAGTGCAGAATTCTATGTGGATATATTCAGTCGCTTAATAGTATAGTAAGGTTGAGATCGAACGTCAGCATTCCGAGTACATTAAGGCAAGTATTAGTCTAGTACCCAGGCCTTCCACGGCCTACATTTCAGGTCAGTGGTTTGAATCCCGTACGTATACAGGCCTGATTTTTTTCAGGTCTGATTTTCGCTATTGCTTAAATAGCGCTATCTACTGCGAGGATCGTGCATCATATGTATTTCAGTTACAGTTGCACGGTAGGATCTGGGTAAACGATTAGGCAAGTGTACGTCCCAACAGAATTGAGTGAATTTGGATCTGGCCCCTATCCTCCAACTCTCCCCTCCCCTCCCCTGAGCGTCTCTGACTTAATTAGAAGGAAGATCGACACGGCTGTTTCAAAACGCCCGCCAGTGGAAATTTAGTTCGCGCATGTCAGATTTACATTTTCAATTTGAAACCGCTGAAAATGTACGCTGAACGGCTCAACAAGAAAGAGCCCACTGATAACTAAGTCACAAAAAGTATATGCGCAAAGTCCAAGGAAATAGCTAACTTATGCGCATACATTGTTTTTTGCTTCTCTGGTTAATGTTCGCCTAGGAAATAATGCGTGTGCGGGATAGTTAACCATGCGACGGCTGAAAGGCACCTTGTTTTGACGCGAAATGATTTATGACCTCTTAGAGGTCTTATTTTCAGGCAAGATTCTGATTGATTCGAATTTTTCTGTCAATAAAGAAACAACTCTGGCTTTATATCTCTCCTTTGCAGCAAGTTTCTGTACCAAGACGTTTTAATCCGAATTGTTTTGAGCAGTGTAATCCGCGATTACTTTTCACCACCGAAATAGTAAATATGGCGCCTATTTCCTCTTTGACCTCGAACAAATTCCCCTAAACTACGCCAATTTATCTTTTTGATACAATCATGCTCATCGATGGGCTAAGTAAAGAATACAAGATGTATGACAAACTGCTAAAATATCCACGGCCTTCTATTACGTGCAGGAAAGTCACACTACATGCGTGTGTTCTGCTTCGCAAAAACTGTACGTCTCGATCTGTCACGGGAAGCTACGGAAATAGTGAAAGCACGGACAAGACGTTTCATTTGGTGGAAATTTCGATCACGATCAGGGACAATAAACTTTTCAATTATATGTAACTATTTTTTCTTTGATCTGGTGGATAAATCGTTCTTCTTGGCACGATTCACATGGTTTACTGCGAGTATTCCCTTCCTCTTCAAATGGAACGCGCTACTAGCGATAACACAAAATTGCAAATATTCCCGCTCCCCTGAAGAACCGATCGAGAGAGATAGACACCCCTTCCTGAAACAAGGTAAAAGCCCAAAGGGTGTACCCTTCTGAAGCTCGAAGAGTGGGTGATGCATTTTGCGTTTGACCGCTAAATTTTTTGTCTAACCTGTCTAATAGGGAAACCCAGGGGAAAAAAACGAACGAAGTTCTGTATCAAAGAGTTGTTCGTAGTGAGGGTTTCTACTGTGTATTGCGACTTTCGTGTCAGGGACAAATACTATATATTTCTACAAAGGAAAATTTTGCTCATCTTTTTTTTAATCAGCATTTTAACAGCCGAAGAGATTTAATGGAGTGAGAGGGCTAACCATCGGGCCCCGCACCTCCGCCTTTCCTACAAGTCGAGCGTATTACATATGTTCTTTAAAACTCTAAGCTCTGTTTCCACTCGCGTAAAAGCCGCTGCATGTCGAATTAGCATATGGGATAAATCCACACTCTCGTGGAAGAAATGCTATTGACCGTAGAAGTGCCCAGGGAAATTCTCAAGACATTTTATACGCCGTTGAATGCAATATCTTTGTTCTCGCAAGTCTACGGACCCTACAGTGTCTGCAAATGTTCCCACCCTCCTCCCCTTCAGTGGCATTGGCCAAATCTTCTTTAAGATCACCCTTCGCCTTATGCAAAAGGTCTTTCGCCCATAACTTATCCATCATAAGCATGAGACTATTACTTGGGGCGTTCAACTCCCATACTAAGACTATGTCACGGCATTTTCACAGAACGGTTTATTATAATATAACCAAACTAAAGCGCGTGGTCTGATTGGTCAGTTCAGCGTCCACCATTTGCCCATGGGTGTACGCTGCTGACGTGAGCAAATGCAAAGATGTAGTTTTCCGCGCGCGGTTGTTTTTTGTGGTCAGGTAAGATTTGTTCAATAAAAGAAAACTCTTTTGCAACAATGTATCAATGTTATGTTATGAAACAAGTGTCAAACGCCACAGTGTACACTATTGAATTACGGACGCACTTGGGAGGTTCGCTAAGCACTCAAGAAGCTAGAGTCACTTTCGGCTA